GGGTTGGAGGAAGAGAGTCTCAGCATCCACATGCCCTTAGAGGGTGTTTCTCTCTTTACTTCTGTCTTCCTCTCATGATATCTTTCTCTCTCTCCCCATGTGAACTAACATATTCTATATGAAAAAAAATTTTTTTCCACCTACCTGAATCAAAATGCCTTATATATGGAAAGGCAAATTTAAACAAATTGTTGAACAAATATAGTCTTAGAGTCAGAGATAGCCTTTAATATGATGAAACAAACATGTGATCATATGTTGAGTTAACTAGGCACTGTGTTTCTTGTTCATCCTGTTCATCTACTTGAGAAGTATGGAAAATTGCTGTCCATTTGGAAGTGTGTTTATTCATTGGGGTGAAGGATTTATTAATGTGTTTTGTGTTGTTTCATTCAATGTCTTCCTGTTTCTCCTTGAACACCTCCAGTGCTGGCTGTAATTATAACCCTTTGAAGTGTTTAAAATGAATTACCTCCCCCTCTTTTAAATTTTTTCCTGTATTGCATAAGTTTTAATAATTATGGAGAACTCATGACATGTGAAAGCATTGAGGCCCTAAGGTTTTTATTTATTTATTTATTTTAGAGGTTTTTGCTATAGGGCACGTGCACTCACCAGACAGACAGAGAGACAGAGAGACAGAAAGCATGAAATCACCCCCCAGGGGAGATGGCCATGCCACAATTCCTTCTCCTCCATTCTCCTCTCGGGATCTTGGGCACGCACGCACATGCGCCCAGTATGAGTTTTAAGCCACCGGGTCTGGGACGCGAACCACGGTCAACTACATGGGAGTCCAGTGACAGCAATTATGCTAACTGCTAGTCCTGAGGCCCTAAGTTTTTAATGTTAGAACTTCTTTTCTTTTTTTATTTAATTTTATTATTATTTTATATTACATTTAATCATATACATCTTTACAGTGTATAATATTTCTTTTTACATCATGATTACCATGCATATCAGCCAGGACAAAGACATTACTATGCAAATTATCATAAGCAAATAGCTTTTCATTTCTTTTTCAGAATATATATGTGCGTGTGTGTGTGTGTGTGTGTATTATTTTTTAAACATTCAATTGCTATACATCACTTGTCTCATAAAGAGAATTTACCCAACACAAAATACTTCTCAGACCAGTCCTATTGAGAACAGTATAGAGGTTATCATTAACCTAATAAACTATATCTGTGTCCTACAAATGTCATGTCTCTCTTTTCCTCTTTTAAATTTTGGCATATTGGTTGAAAGGACAGTGAATGAACAAATATTAGTATCATCCAACATATGTTTCATTTTTATTCAAGATTCTCTTCGAAATTTTTAATCAAAGGATGACTCAAAGTGTTTGAATTCCTATCCTAGTCATTTGATTTAAGGTCAAAGTTTCCTGTAAAGCATTTATATCCTATTGATTTTTTCTTAGCTACCTCTAAGAAAACATCAATGCACCACTTTTTCATATATATATATGTATGTACACACATACACACACACGTGTATATATGAATATATATATAAATATACATATATGTATATGTGCATATATATTATATATATACATATATATGAAAGTTTTGGAATAAGTTGAGTGTGCTTGCACAGAGAGTGGAAGAAAAGAAAGAGAGAAATCACTTCCCAGGGGGATGGCCATACTACAATTCCTTCTTCTCTAGTCTCCACTCAGGACTTTGGACACACATGTACACATAACCAATATGATTTTTAAACCACCTGGTATGGGACTAGAATAGCCCAGTTAACAATGTGGGATCCAGCACCTTAACTTCCATGCCACCAGAAGACCTATGACAATTAAATTTTCAGTCAAGGTTGGTAAAAGGTGCTAATGCCATTTAGAGGCAGGAGACTTCACAAAAAGTACGTAATAAAGACTGGAGTCATCACACTTTCAACGTGGTCCTTTGAGAGCTGCAAGTAAACAGGAAATTTTTCCTTTCTTACCGGACCAGTGTTCAAGAGGAAAATCAGGTACTAAGAGATTGCAGTTATAAGGAGGAAATTTACCTAATGAGCAGATATAGGGAGCCACAAATATTTCCTCTGTCATTGTCCCTCAAGGAGTGCATCCTTAGCCTGGACAAGTCATGGTTGGTTTTTCTGATATCTCCAGACTGACTAGGAGACCATGCTTAATTTTTTCATTGTATCTTGTCTGGGGATAGAGCTGTAGTCTCCATCACCAACCATTCAGGGAGAAATTCACCCTTCACAAGAAGACTGTCCTCTCTGTGACCCCATGCAGGTGAATCTGAGAGCCTGGTAAGTACTGCAGTAACAGTTCAGAGAGAATGCATGCCAAGGTATCTACTTTAGATCACCTGAGAGCAAAACCAACCCAGCAAGAGTCGAGATACTGATGTACTTGGTTACTTGTCTGACCACATTATTTATCATTAATGTATTTAATATATTAACAAGCCATGTGTCTGTCAGACTTAACCATGCAGGCATCATTGTGGACAATTTATTGATGGGAACAGATGTTCAATTGGATTGGAATGAGGAAGGAATGGGAGTAATAGAATGATTTCAGTCAAATTACAACATATGAATAGTAATTCTCAGTTGAAGAAGTAGGAAACATAGAAGCAGATATTTGATGAGATATGCAATGACTTTTGGGTCTGTTAAGGAACTTTTGAAATGAGTATATTTGTGCATATTTCTGTAATTTTTGAAGGATCAGGATGAGTGGGTTGTTTGCAATTCATTCCTTGCAACTGTAGTTCCTGAGACATACATTTCACAGTTTCTTCTTTCATGTTATGCATTCACATAAAGAAATTTTATTCTCATGTTAAAATTAGAATATTAAAGAGTTTTTAAATTTTGATTTTATTTTGATATAACATTTAAACACATATCTTTACAGTGTATTACATTTCTTTTTCCAGCATGATTACCATGCTTATCAGTCAAAACAAAAACATTACTGTCCATATCGTCATCATCAAATAGTTTTCATCATTTATTTCAGATTATCATTATTATTAGTTATCATTTTTTTAAACATTTGATCCCTATATATCATTTGGCTTGTAAAGAGAATTTACTCAACATCAAACACTTCTAGACCAGTCCAGTTAAGAACATCATCAACAGGTAAATAGTTTTACTTACAACTATTTTCTTGTTGGTGTAATAGAATAAGTTTGTGAGTCTATTAGCATTTTACTTTATTATAAATCTTGAAAATGTTTTGTTTTTATGTTCTGGGGTCTGATTATATTTTATTCTTTTGAGTTTTTAGTTTTAATAATGAATTTAAGTTTTAAAATAAAAATTTCAGAGTACCTTTGAATTATTTTATATGTTGATCGATGTAGATATATATTGGGTGAATGTGAAAACTTAATAGATTTTGTGTTATCAAATCTAAATCTAATAGGCCGTCGTATTGCATACACACCCATTCACTCTATATTTTTATTAAATTAGAAAAATTCTTGTATATCAGTAGTAAACATAAATACCTCTTTTTTCTTTATTGCCATAGGATACATTTGTTTATGAGAGAGAGACTAAAAGAGGAAGAGTGAGAAATCATACCCCGGGGGGTTGTGCATGCTGAAATTCTTGGTCCTCCAATTTCTTCTTGAGTTTTTGGGCATACATTTTCTTTTGTCCAATGTAATTTCCTTTTTTTTTTTTTTTTGGAGAGGTTTTTCTCTACAGGGCGCGTGTGCTCGCCAGATAGACAGCGCACATAGAGACAGAAAGCAAGAAATCACCCCCCAGGAGGGATGGTCACACCCCAATCCCTTCTCCTCCATTCTCCTCTCGGGATCTTGGGCACGTGTGCACACACTCCCGGTGCCCGGCGTGAGTTTTAAGCCACCGGGTCCGGGACTCGAACTGCGGTTGACTACGTGGGAGTCCAGCGACATAGCCATTACGCTTACTGCTGGTTCCCGTCAATGTAATTTTCAAGCCTCTGTATTCAGAACTTGAACTACAGTTGGTCATGTGGGAATCCAGCACCTTAATGACTATAACACCTGCTGGTCCCCCAAAATATGATCTTGTAATATGGTTATCTGAATACTAATCAACAGAGAAAAATAAGGAGGTAAATCCATGGAATATTCTTGAAATAAAATACTGAGCAATTCCACTAAACTAAGATATCTGAAGTGGTCAAAGTCAAAGAAGCAGACAACAGAATGGTGGTTGCCAAGGGGGTTGATAAAAAGGGTGAAAGAGTTATTTTATTTCTCTTTAAAAAAAAGAATTATTTATTTTATCATATTCTTTATTATTATTTTTCACTTTGATCAGAAGAAACAAAGAGAGAGAGTGACAAAGCAAGTCATCAGGTCTGGGACTCGAACTGCAAACGACCATGTGGGAGTCAAACACCTTAACCAGCAAGCCACCTGCTGTCCACAGAGTTGTTTTTCAATGAATATAACAATGCTGTTATTGGGCCAACTGATGGTGTGGTGGTTAAGATGGCTGGACTGCACATGGTCCACTCCCAGTTAAAGTCCCAGCCAGCAGCTAGAAAAAAATATCGGTCATGTGTGTATACACTCCCAACATCCTGAAAGAAAAGAGTATTGTGGGATGGTCATTCCCCGTGGGAAGTGATTTCTCACTTTCTCTCTCTCTCTGTCTCTCTGTCGGGTGAGCACGTGTGCACAAGAGCAAAACTAAAAACAAAACAGAAACAAACAGCAAATAAAATCTTTTGTAACATTATATTTTAGTCCATAAATATGTACAATTATTTTTTTATCAAGAAATAAATGTTAAAAATTCTGCAAAATAAATGATCTATGGGAATAAAGAAGTGAGATAAGAAGTCCTAATCAGAGATGGCACTGTGAAAGCCTAAAGCAGATTAGATTTATAAAAAAATATAAAAAATAATTTTGTGAAGACAAAACACTAACTATGGCATTTCAACTCTGAGAGTAATACTTGCTCATGTGAAATTAGCCATTGTATTTTCTTCTTTTCAGGGAGTGACCATGGAACCAGGAAATGATACAAAAATTTCAGAATTTCTTCTTCTGGGACTTTCAGAGGCACCAGAATTGCAGCCCCTCATATTTGGGCTTTTCCTCTCCATGTACCTTATCACTGTGTGTGGAAACCTGCTCATCATCCTGGCCACCACCTCAGACTCCCACCTACACACCCCTATGTACTTCTTCCTCTCCAACCTGTCCTTAGCTGACATCTGTTTCACCTCCACCACTATCCCAAAGATGCTGGTAAACATCCAAACACAGAGCAAGACCATCACCTATGCAGGCTGCATCACCCAGATGTTCTTTTTCCTACTCTTTGCAGTGGTAGATGACTTTCTCCTGACAGTAATGGCCTATGACCGGTATGTGGCCATCTGTCATCCTCTGTACTACTCTGTTATCATGTACCCCTGGTTCTGTGGACAACTGGCTCTGGCGTCTTGGACCATAGGTGCTCTGCATGCATTATTACATAGCCTAATGGCATTGTGGCTGTCCTTCTGTACACATGCGGAAATCCCCCACTTCTACTGTGATCTTAGTAAGCTGGTCCACCTTGCCTGTTCTGACTCTTTTCTAAATAATGTAGTGACCTATTTTGCATCTGTGCTGCTTGGTGGTGGTCCTTTCACAGGGATCCTTTACTCTTACTGTAAGATAGTTTTCTCCATTCATGCAATCCCATCAGTTCAGGGAAAGCGCAAAGCATTTTCCACTTGTGCCTCTCACCTCTTAGTTGTTTCCTTATTTTATGGTACAAGCCTAGGAGTGTACCTTAGTGCTGGTGCTACCCACAGCTCACTCTCAAGTGGAGCAGCCTCGGTGATGTTCACTGTGGTCATCCCCATGTTGAACCCCTTCATCTACAGTCTTAGGAATAAAGACATAAAGAGGGCCCTGAAAAGGCTATCTAGAGGAAGGTCTAAAAGAAGCAATTTTTCTGCAATAGAATAAATTAACTGCCCTGATTACAAACCTCAATGTCTCAGAGCTAATTTCTTGATTCTTGATCAGATTTTGGAGTACAGCTTAGTCCTCCTATGAGTGCTGGGAGTTTTCATTCTTCTGATTTCAGTCTCTCTGTACTTTATTGGTAAGCTTTTAAATTCAGATTTCTGCTCTCTCTGATACCCAACAGTTTTCCCTTTGTCATTTTTCCACTTTCTCTAAGTCATTTACATACTCTCTTCAAAATGATCTGCAAGTTCTCAGTCATCTTGTTGGATAATGCAAGCTTCATACGGGCTATTTCTTCTCAAGTGCAATCATAGCAAGTATTATTTATTTATTTATTTATTTATTTATTTATTTATTTATTTATTTATTATCCCGAGAGGAGAATGAAGGAGAAGGGATTGCGGCGTGGTCATCCCCTCTGGGGGTTGATCTCTCGTTTTCTGTCTCTCTGTCTCTTTCTGGCAGAATCTACATTACTGAGTTGCACTCCTTTCTGGGAAAAAAAAAAAAAAAAAAAAACTCTGGTTAGAACGTAAAACCATTTAAATCTGTTGAGGGAGAAATTTATTTGAGACCACAGATTTTCACTTTTGGGATCCATCCTTCCATCATATATTAGGACCTTAACTGCTCTTATTGATAACATGGACTTAGGCTTCTAGTGTTTTTTATAACTAGCCAAAAGATTTTCTTAAATTTTATTTTTTAAAGCAAAAATGACAGCTTTTTGTTAAACAGAGTTTTTCAGTCTTTTGTCTGTTAATCATTCCTCCTCTTTTGTCTTCCCATTCACTTTCAACCACCCACTGCCCCCACTTAAAATCTCTGCTGTCTGCACTTATCCTCTCCACTATCATATCTTTGGATCTTTTCATTTCTGCGATAGAGTGCAGACATTTAGACATATTGAGTGGGGATATGCAGTGTGCCTCTTTCAAAGTCTAGCTCGCTTTGCTTAATATTAAGTCCTCTATATTCACCTACTTAAAATCAAAAACAGAAGTGTCATTGTTTCTTATGGCTCAGTAATATTTTATAGTATATATGTGCCACCAGTTTTCAACCCTGTCATTTGATTTTGGACACTTGAGTTGACTCCTTGTCTTAACAATTGTGAATAATGTAACAATAAACATGAATGTGTGTCTTTCTCTGTGTTTCCTGTCCTTTGAGTAAATACCAAGAAATGGGATTACTGGGTCACATGGTAGTTCTATTTGTAGTTTTTTGAGGAACCAATACATAGTTTTACATAGTTTGTACAAATGTACATTTCCTTTTTGACAACAGTGTAAGAGGGTTTTCTTCACCACAGCCTTGCCAGCACTTGATGTTCTTTATTTTCTTGAGCCTAGCAATTCTAACTTGGGTTAAATGGTATCTCATTGTAGTTTTAATTTCCATTTCCCTTATGACAAGAGATTTTGAACACTTTTTCATATGCCATTTGGCCATTTGGGAGTCTTCTTTGGAGAGTTGTCTCTTCAGTTAATTTGCCAATTATATTTTAGAATTATTCACTCAATTTTATTTCTTGTTATTCTTCAATTTGACCAGAGAAGGACAGAGATAGAGGGACAGAGTGAGGGGAAGTGAGAAAGCAAACTTCCAGATCTGGGACTCTACCTGCTGTAGGCCATGTGGGACTCCAGTACCTTTACTATCTTGTGACTTGTTGGCCCTGATTTGCCTATTTTTTAATTGGATTATTCTTTTTTTTTTTTTTTAATTGAGTGAGCTGCTTGAGTTCCCTGTATTTTTTGGTTGTCAATCCCTTGCCTGAGAAATAACATTCAAGTAGTTTGCCCCATTCTGTCTTTTCAGTATAATTATTGTTTTCTTTGCTGTGAAGAAGCTTTTTAGCTTGATATAATTCCACTTGTCTATTTTGGGGATTAAGTCTGTGCTTTAAGAGGTCTTATTTAAGAAATCTTTGCCTACTCCAATGTCTTCAAGAGTTTCCTATGAGTAGTTTTATACTTTGGCTTTATATTTAAAACTTTGATCAAAAGAGTCTTTTTTAAAAAATTTATTACTATTATTTATACATTCAACCACTATACATCATTTAGATTGTAAAGAGACTTTACACAGCATGACCTCAGTCCAGCTCAGTTGAAAACATAAGTCATCAGCAACAGGTAATAAGCCCTATCTGAGTCCCACAGATGTCTTACTTCTCTATTTTTTATTCCCATTGTGATCCTGTGTGCATATTGGGGTCGTCCTGAAAATCAGCCCCCAGAATTAATTACTCTACCATTTGCCCATGCAGATATTTTTATAGACTATGTAACATTTCAAGATGATAATATTGTACCAGCAGTGAGTAGATTGGTGGTTGCTGGAGGTGAAGGACTGGACAGGGCGTACATGGGTAGAGGCAAGAGGGCAGAGCCGGCCATCCTTGTGTTGATGGAACTGTTCTGTATTTTGAACTTATCCATGTTATTAACCTGGCATAATATTGTACTGTGGTTTTGCAGGATGGATCCACTGGGGAAACTGAGTAGAGGACATAAGCATTTCTCTGCATTATTTATTACTAATGCATGTTAATCTGTCATTTTCTTCAAATAAAATAATCAAAAGTAAAAATGAAAAAACTAAAAAAGGAACATTAAAGAGGTGAAGGAATGGAAAGTACGTATCTTTGACTTGCTTAACATGCAATGCATTTTATGCTTTGAGAATCTACATTGTAATGCTGTAAAAATGTACAATGATTAAATGTAAATGACATAAAGTTAAAATACAAATTAAAAAAAGGGAACCACATGAACTATCTTTTCCTTTAAAGTTGAAGTTTTGACATGTTTCTTTTTTTCTTTTTTTTTAACTTAGACTGATATTTCCTTTCTGTTTGTTCCATGCCCAGAACCTGAGACCTTGAGACCTGAAAAGCCTCAATGAAGTTTTAGTCAAAGCTCCATCTTTACTCAGGTCATGATTTAACTCTCCCGAGTTCCATTTCTGCAATGTAGAATACGTTCGCTAATTGTGTGTCCTATTGGAGTGATATCATGTAAATATTAAATAAAAAAAACTATGTAAGTTTCTCACTTCAGTCCACTTTGTGTAAGAAGGTCCACATATATCTCTTGTAATTACCAAATGTTACATAAATGAAACACTAAACGATGATTCTTTTTTAAATTAAATATATATATGTGTGTGTGTGTGTGTGTGTGTGTGTGTGTCCCTAGCAGGATGGCCATTCTGCAATCCCTTCTCCTCTAGTCTCCTGTAAGGATTTTGGACACAGGAGCACATTTGCCCAGTGTAATGTTCAAGCCACCGGGTCTGGGAATTAAGCCATGCATTCAGCCAAGGGAGATCCAGCTCCTTAACCTCTATGCCACTTGCTGACCGGGGACAATTAAATTGTAACTCAATGTTTGTTGAAACATGCTAATGACCTTTGGAAGCAATTGAGTTCCCAGAAAACATGTACTAAAGATTGGATTTATCACACTCACATCTTGGTCTCTCTAAAGCATCAAATCAGCAGGAAAAAAAAAACATTCTTTTCTTTTCAGATCAGTGTCCATGAGGGATATCAACTACTAAGTGGGTGCTGTTATAAGGAATAAATGTACCTAATACTCTCATATAGGGATCTGTAAATATTTTGTCTGTCATTGTCCCTAAAGGAGTATAGCCTTGGGCTGGATAGGACATGATTGATTTTGTTTGGAATCTCCAGACTGGCTAGGGGTCCATGCTTAATTCTTTCATTTTGTCTTGTCTAGAGACAGAACTTCAGTCTCCATTGACAACCATTCAGGGAGAAATTCACCCTTTCACAAGAAGACTGTCCTCTCTGAGAGCCCATACAGGTGAGTCTGAGAGTCTGGTAGGTTCTGCAGAATGAATGCCAATGACATCTACCTGAGATCCCCAGAGAGCCAAACCAACCTAACAGGAGCTGAGATATTAATGTGTAATGTGTTTGGTTACTGGTATGACCAATTTATTCATCATTAATTTATTTAATATGTTAACAAGCCATGTGTCTGTCAGACTTAGCTTGCAGGCTAAGTGGACTATTTAGTGATGAGAGCAGACATCCAGTTGGATGAGAGTGAAGAAGGAATGGAAGAAATAAAATTATTTCAGTCAAATTAGAACATGTGCACAGAAATTTGCAGTTCATGAAGTAGGAAAAGCAGAATCAGAGTTGTGATGAGATGTGTAATGACTTTCAGGCCTGTTAAGGAATTTTTAAATGAGTGTATTTGTGCATATTTTTATATTTTTTGAAGGATCCAGATGAATGAGTTTCTTGCAATTCATACCTTGCAACTGTAGTTCATGAGACATACATTTCACAGTTTCTTTTTTCACATTGGATATTCACATAAAATTTTATTCTCATGCTAAAATGGGAATATTGAAGAGTTTTTTACTTACAACTATTTTTTGGCTGGTGAAATTAAGTAGGTTTATGAGTCTGTTAACGTTTTACTTAATTTCAATTCGAGTCACTGTTTTATGTTCTCTGTATATTTATTCTTTGGAATATTTTCTTTTAATAATGAATTAATGTTTAAAAATAAAAATTTCAGCTCTTCCTTTCTCTGCCATTGTGGTGTGTGTGGTCCACTTGGCTCTTTGCCATGTCTTCTCACAAGACTTTCAGAATCAAGCAGTTTCTGGCCAAAAAACAGAAGCAAAATTATCCTATTCCCCATTGGATTAGAATAAAACTGGTAATAAAATCAGATACAATTTCAAGAGGAGACATTGGAGAGTAACCAAGCTGGGTCTATGAGGAACTAGACAGGAGATGGCCCACATATGTATGCTGTACCAAGGTCACTATGGTCTTGTCACATCAAGCTGAAAATAGTCATCACTGACTGGACACTTGTATTCACTGGGAAAAAAAATAATGCTTCACTTTGTTTCTGAGTTCTGTATTGTAGGTTGGTTCAGTGATAAATATGTGAGACCTTAATAGGCCATCATGTTGTGTACACATATACACTCTAAAT